GATGTATGAATGGGCGAAGTCGCCACGCTCCACGCGAAACCTCAGCACAAAGACTAGGTTCACCATGTCAGCATCATCCAAAGTAACCTCACCAAAAGGGAGCAGAGGCTCCTCTAGAGAAAAGGCATCAGGAATGAATGAGTCAACTGACTTTCAAAAGGGGTCAGCCAGTCCACCGAAGTATGGGGCCCTCCTCTACTCAGTAGGGGGTGGGACAGCCCTATCAGGTAGAAACCTTGTGCTAGCCATAAAGAAGAATAAAAAAAGGTAAAGACAACTTTGGAAAGTAGGGACAAGGAAGAGCAGAAGACAAGGAGACAAAAAGTATGTTTGGGCAGAAGTGGGGGACCTAGTGGACCCAAGGGCACTATTTATAAAGAATGCAGCAAAGGGGCACCAATACGCTTCCCTAGGCCCATTATGACCCGTCAGTCAAAAGGGGGGCACCTTTTCAAAGCCGACGCAACTTCTGACCCAACTGACGCAGCTCTTGGGTTACTTGCTGACGTCATGCACGTGCGGGAAATCAGGGGCATGTCCCCCATGCACACAGGGGGCAAATGTAGAGGGTCAGAAATTAAACCCGAAATTAAGTATGGGCCTAAACGCTGAGGTCGCCCCTATGAGGCGACCAGGAATAAAAAGAGGAGCATGGGCTAAAGCCAAAGGGAAGTGGGCCAACAGTGGGCCAAAGAAGTTCTAACCCGCCAAGGTTCTAAGCACACTCCACGAAGGAAAATGCCTAAGTCAAATTTCGGAGGCAACACCTGCCGTGGTAAGTTGCGGAGGCAACACCTGCAATGGTGAAGTTGCAGAGAAAACACGTGTAGCGGAAAAGTTACTGAGGCATTTTGCCTTAGCGCTGCCATTTCTAATATTTTCGATTCCGCTGCTATCTGAAGTTGCTGAGGTTTGAAGTTATTGTAGGAAAGAGAAAGCTGACGCAACTAAGTTGCAGAGGTGACACTTGCGACGGCCAAGTTGTGGAGGCACTTCGTCCCAACGCCGCCATTTCAGGTAATGTCGGTGCCGCCGCCATTCCAAGTAATGTTGGTACCATATCCATCTGAAGTTGCTAAGGAAAGGAGAAAATCGAAACAACCAAGTTGTAGAGGCAGTACTTGCAGCACCCAAGTTGTGGAGGCTTTCTATCGGCGCCGCCATCTCTAACATCTTCGGTCCTGCCCGTCCCAACGCCGCCATTTCAGGTAATGTCGGTGCCGCCGCCATTCCAAGTAATGTTGGTACCATATCCATCTGAAGTTGCTAAGGAAAGGAGAAAATCGAAACAACCAAGTTGTAGAGGCAGTACTTGCAGCACCCAAGTTGTGGAGGCATTCTGTCGGTGCCGCCATCTCTAACATCTTCGGTCCTGCCGTCTGGTCGTCACGGGAAATGATTACCACAATAACTACGACTGCAGCAACTAAGTTGCAGGGGGAATATCTTGCCAAGGTGATAGCAGCCTTTGAGAGAGGCCTCCCTCTGCAAGTAGAGGCTAATGTTTGGCGCTAATAACAGGCCCCAAGGTATTACTAGCTTAAGACTGATAGCAAGTCCCAAAGTTCATTAACTTGGCATTGATAGCAGACCCCAAGAATTACTGGTTTGAGCTGATAGCAGGCCTAGAGATACCAGTATACCGTGACAATCCCGCGAAGATGGAAGTAGGGTAGCCCGAGCATAAAGGACTCCATTTCCATTACCTACGTCATGGACCTGCCTTAGTCACACAAGCAGGACTAAGAAACCCCCTTGGGCTTGGTACTAAGGCACAGCATAGCTAATAGCAAGCTTGGCTGTGGCCTTTGCCCTGGGAAGCTGGAGAGTTTGTGGTTAGGTGGCTAAGGGTGGAGGCTTCATTGAGGTGAACATGAACATAGTCGATAGTAGACTAATGGAGTCCTGATAATGCATGTACTGGCCAAATAGAACTGAGAAGGCAAGTGCAGCGACAAGGTTCACTGCTGCTAGTGCACTTGTTGAGGTTCAAACTGAGAAGGCAAGTACAGAGGCAAACATTTCCGCCGCAACTGCACTTGTTGAGGCTCAAAAGGGAACTGTAGCGCCAAACACTCTCGTCGCAACTACACTTATTGAGGTTCAAAAAGGTAGTTGCGGAGGAAAATAGATAGTACACAGTACATGTATAGGGACACGTGGCACCTTCAACCTGGTGGCTCAAGGCAGAATATTCCATGTGATCCTCTGGGACACATGTCTTCTCTCTAGTTGGCCACTTGGTGTCCTCTTGGCACCAAGGAAAAACCTATAAATAGGACCCATTTTCTCAAGATTCAAAAAAGAGCAATTTTGGGAATTTAGGGGAGATGTTGCCCATTTTGGTACTGTCATACATTCCTTTTTGAGCCACTTACTTCACCCTCACCCAGCTACACACTCTCCAACTGCCCAGACAATTACTGCTGCTTATTCTCCAGCCATTTCACCGCTGTTGGACCATTAACATAGTTTTGCCTCTCTAATCATCTTCCCAACCTTGAACCCCCTACAAATACAAACCTATCAAATTGGATTGAATCAAATCGGATTACAGATTTTACGAATTATTTGCTCAACCCTACGAGGTGGTACTTTTTTAATGAATTTGAAAGTAAAATATATAACTTGATGGTATGAACGACCACAACCCATGTAAGGAATATATATTTGTCAGGAATTGTATACTTGAATAGAGATTTATAAAGAAAAGTACATATTAGTTTTTTTTTTTTTAAATCATTTCTCTTGCATTTTTCTTTCACTTTTTAAATTTTGTCAAAATTCATAATACAACCCTGGCCTAAGTCATGTTAGTTTAGCGGTTTGGGGAGGATAATAAAATTGTTAATTCGTAATCAAAAACATATTTAATTGAGATATGGTATTTTAGGGGTGAGGTTAACATATCATGAGAGAGTTGAGATTTAGAGTCTAATTCTATGAGATTGGATGGTTAAAGAACTATTTATATTATTATTTTACAAAAATATCAAAATCAATTTAAAATAAGCGTATCTTGTATTTAGTCTGTAATCGGATTGGACCATACTATTAGATCCTGTGGGTCCATTATGGAACCCCGTATCGATAATCTGAACTATTCAATGTGTAGGGTTTATCGAATGTTTCATCTCTACAAAAAATCAAATTGATCAGATATCAATAATCACTTGATCAAATCATATTTATGTCAACATTCAGTATGATTTAAAAAAAATATTAACAGAAATGTGATCCAATCAATTAGCATTCGATATCCGATCAACATGATTTTTTTTCTGGGATGAAATATTCAACCAATTCTATATATTGAACGATTCAGATTATCGATATGGATTCTATGATGAGCCCAAAGAAGTCAAACAATCCAATATCGTCCGAAACCAAATGGGAGACTAGCCTTACCCAAATAATGATAGTTTTTATATAATTTCATAGTCAACCAATTCATATCATCATAATAGCACACACAAACAAAAATTTTAGGCGTCACGATTGAGACCCCCTCCAATCACCATCCGCTACATGTGTGTGGGGGTGGTGGGGGTGGTGATTGGAGGAGAAGGGAAAAAAAGAAAAAGAAAAAGAAAAACTGGCCAATCATGTTAAGAGGGGGTCAAAGGGGGTCCAGAACATTATTGTAAATAATTTATTTTACATTTTCAATTCAACAACATTATTAATAAATCAAGAGTTTTTTTTTTCGGAATTACCCATAATTTATTTAAGATTTAATTATACTTTTCACTTATGTAGCTTGACTTAAATTTCAAAGTCTAATTTTAATTTGGTCATTTTATCTAAATTAAAATTAACAATTTTGAGATATTTGTCGATTTTTTAAATATTCAATTTGATCATTCTGTCTCAATTAAAGGTTAAAATTAATAATTTTCGGAAACTTGTAAATTTTCTAAGGTGCACACAAAATTAATAAAAGTTTAGACAAAAAAAAAATTAAAATTAGACTTAAAATGTATAAATCAAATTGTTTAAATTAAAAATCTAAAGAGTAAAATAAAATTTAGGTTAAATTATAGAAATGAAAATTGTAAAGAAAAGAAAACATTAGAGAAAAAGAAAGGTTCTGTTTGAAAAGATGGTTGGGTTAAAATAGTTTACTATAAGATAAAATATCACATGCAATCTATAATCGTTTCATTTTTTTTATCTTCCAACCATCAAATCAACTATAAAAAATAAAAAAACAAAAACTATCTTTTCAAATACAACTATTTTAACCAAATTAAAATTACAAAAAAAAAATTAAAGAGTTAATTACCTAAAATTCCTATTTATAAATTTTATGGTAGCTTAGATCTTATTTAAAAAATTTTGAACCAATAAGTTATATTTAGTAAAATTGATAATATTATCAGTTTTTTTAAAAATTTTTGAAACTAAGAAAATTATCAATTTTGCATAATAATGTTTTAGATAATTGTTTCAATAACTGATAAAAAAAAACAAAGCATAAGATTAAACGTTTTTGCCTTTCTACTTATTGGTTTGATTCAACTATCCCATAAAACTGAGAACATTATCAGTTTTTTATAGTTTTAAAATTGAGAACAATATCAATTTTTTCATTTTTAATTTTTTTTTTCAATTTTGCACATCAATATTCTATCATCATGCTCCTTTATAGACATAAAATTTTCAATTTTGCACCAAAAAATAATTTAATTTTTTCAAAAAAAAATTTTGTAGATAATTTTTTTTTTAATTTTTTCAATTTAAAAGTTAATATTTTAAAATTTTAAAAATCAAAATAAATATCAAATCGTCATATTCTTTTGTAAATAATCATAAATGATACTATTATTGTTTAAAACATAATTCCAACTATTAAAAATTTAGTGAAACTTGAAAATCTAAAAACCTTAATTAGAGCTTTATGAAATTTAATTCATAAATTACTTATATGCAAATGCCTAAAAAATAACCAACTAAAGTATCCAAATCTACCGGACCAAAGTTTTTGTTTTGATCATCCAGCTAGGCTGCTCGCTTTGCTACTTTGGCCTCCAATTATTCTCTCTCTCTCTCTCTCTCTCTCTCGCTCTCTCACATTCAATTCAGACAAAAAAACACATGATGCTCTGTCTCTCTACCGTCGATGGAGAATTAAACATTGCAGATCATCAAAAAGGTAACAAGTTTTGAGAAATTTTTTTGGGAAAATTTGTTTGGTTTGATTATTTTTGAAAACTTATTTGTAGAGAAAATTTCCCAAATTTTTTTCAGAAAATCAAACCAAACGAGCCCTTTGTTTTGATCATCCAGCTAGGCTGCTCGCTTTGCTACTTTGGCCTCCAATTATTCTCTCTCTCTCTCGCTGTCTCACATTCAATTCAGACAAAAAAACACATGATGCTCTGTCTCTCTACCGTCGATGGAGAATTAAACATTGCAGATCATCAAAAAGGTAAGTTAAACGACTGTTTGTAATCTCTGTATATTCTATTTACATTCCTTTGAATATTCATTCATCTGGAAAAAGACCTCTCTTTACATTCACTCTCCTTTCGATCGGAGGTCTTGGAAAAGCCCATCATGTGATGAAGGAGCGTTGGGATTTTTGTTAGGGCTTTTGGATCGATATGTTTCTGTTAATTACTCCCTTGTAATGCTAGGGTTTATTATGGGTTTTCAACTATTCAAGGAGAGTACTAGTGTCGTTGATTGTTTTAACTATTGAATTAAAAACATGGTGGTGGTGATCATCTAAGATGATGAGTTGTTAATTTCGGTGTTGTGGGTTTTGAAGGAAAAATGGAAAATTCGGGTTTGGGAGGTGGGTTTTTGTCGGGACCGAGTGGGGGATTTTTAGACCTTGAATCATCGATTCAAAGGCATCAGCAGACCCATCATCATCATCGTCACATGCAATCGCCAATTAATATGATTTCAGGGCTCGAAAATGATCACTCCATTGAGTTTATGGAAGCAAAGGGTTCAACAACCCATAAAGGTTTCCCGATAAATTTCGGTAAAGGGAAGGCTGTTGTGTCTGGTAATGCTGGGAATAGTAACAATAATAATACTAGTGAAGAGGATGAGCCGAGTTATACTGAAGACGGGAATGGCGAGAATTTCAGTGGGGGAAAGGGTAAAAAGGGGTCTCCTTGGCAGCGAATGAAGTGGACCGATAACATTGTTAGGCTTCTCATAGCAGTGGTTGCTTGTGTCGGTGATGACGGTACTCTTGATAGTGTAGAGGGGCTGAAAAGGAAATCTGGGGCTTTACAAAAGAAAGGGAAGTGGAAAACAGTCTCAAAGATAATGATCTCTAAGGGTTGTTATGTTTCACCTCAGCAGTGCGAAGATAAGTTTAATGACTTGAACAAGAGATATAAGAAGTTGAATGATATTCTTGGGAGGGGAACTTCTTGTAGGGTGGTTGAAGACCCCACTCTTATGGACTCCATGCCGCAACTTTCAGCTAAGATGAAGGAGGTTGTAAGAAAAATATTGAGCTCAAAACACTTGTTTTATAAGGAAATGTGTGCTTATCATAATGGACAGAGGATGCCCAACTGTAATGACCTTGATTTACAAGTTCATTCTTTACCTCTCGTGAGATACTCAAAGGACAATAATGGTTCTGAGGAGGAAGAAGCCGGAGAAAATGGTGAAAGTGAGTCCGATGAATCGGATGATGAAGACAAAAATATTACTGGTGGGGACATGGAAAGGATAGGGGAGTACGGTGAGCACAAGAAGCCAAATGAAGAGGATTGTAGTATCTGGTCCCAATCTAGTGCACTAGGTGGTTTTGAAGCAGAAATGACTGAAATCTTTCAAGATCCTACAAAGTCGCAATGGGAAAAAAGAGATTGGATTAAGAAGCAGATGTTGCAACTGCAAGAGCAAAGAGTCAGCATCCAAGTTGAAGCATTTGAGTTGGAGAAACGGTGTTTTAAGTGGCGGAGATTCTGCAGCAAGAAAGAGAGGGAGCTCGAAAGGTCTAGGTTGGAGAATGAGAGGATGATATTAGAGAATGAACGAATGGCGTTGCAACTGAAGCAGAAGGAACTGGAGATGGACTTGAAGAGGTCAGATGCATCTTTTGAGCCCACTTCTCTCAACACTGATAGACTGCAAGAAAGAGATCAGATTGATTTGGGCAAGCATCAGTAGCTCCTGTGCAAAAAGGGTCTTTGATGTACTACTGGTATCATGAATGACAGTTAGCCTTTCTTTCTGTTCAAAGTCTCAGTCTTGAAGCCAACCATGTAAGTTACTTGTTTGGTTTTCGATTTTTTTTTTTCTTTTTTTCCCTGTAGGAATATCTGAAGTCATCATTTGTTGCTGAGCTTTCTTCTGTAACGTTGAAGAAGTAGCATAAGTTTTTCTTTTTCTTTTCTTTTTTTCAAATTTTTTTTGTCCATTTTTTTATATGTTTAACTTGTCCTGACCATGTAAGAGTTCTTTTTATGGTTTCTTGTCTTTATTCTTGTCTGAGAGTTACGCTGTTGAGAAACGGTATAAACCTATTAACTGGCTTTTAGATCTTGTGCTATGGACATGTTGATGTTAATTATATCCGAATGATTGTAGGATATTTCATATATAAGCCAAATTGAAAGAGAACTGGAGACTTTGCGATTGATGGTTTCTTTGTTTGAGAATTTATTCTTTGTTAGGATCTGGAGTTGGTAAATTTGATATTACATATATTCACCATCAATGTAGAGATGGCCAGTTAAAGTTAGTCTTGTCCTCATTTAGTTTATGTCTTTTCCATTTGCTTTTGTTTTTATTACAAAACAGAACATGGGTTGAAGTAATTATAAATCCTGATTTCAGCATATTGGTACAACTTAAACATGTTTGTAAACCAAAGCAATCGAGGTCTGCTACATCAGTTCCTGTCCAGTCAGGTCTAATACAAATTTTCTTCAAATTCAAATAAAATGTCATGATCTTTGAACAGCACCTTCCATTATCTTGTTAACATTTAATACCTTGATTGGAATGTGCTTGTAATTGTGGCAAAAATTAATCAAACACTAATGTTGTGTTTGGTTAGGAGATTTGGGAAGGGATTTGGAAAGAGAAAGGGAAAGGGAAAAGGTGTGTGAGATTAGGTAAAATATAGGCATGTTTTATTCACATTTCACCTATCTTTTCTATTTTTCTTTTCAAATCCTTCCCCAAATCCCTCAACCAAACACACCATAAGCAGTTGATTATTTATTTATTTAGTTATTTATGTATGGTCCTAAACATCCTTTACTTGTTCACATATTGTTGTGTTTTAAAGCCCAATACATTCCTTCTGCCCTTTTTATTTTATTTTTGGGTGGATACCCTTTTTATTTTAATGCATGAGGTTTGAACTTCTTCCATTTAAGTGTTCATTTGGGATTCTTTTCTAATGCACACTTTGAAAAGCCTTTTATAATACATTAGATTTTTCTGTTGGAGAGAAAAAGGCTGTATTTTTTGCTATTTTGCCTTCTTGTTCAAGAGATATTGTCCTGACCAGATTTTTGTTTGCTGCAAATTTTTATGGGTATTGAATCCTTAGGATTGAATCACAGAAACCGACAAATAAAAACAAACTGGCCCCATTTTTTAGACGGTGGTCGTCTGTTTTTTTTCCATGGGGGGGGGGGGTGCAATTTGCTTTCTATTTCTATTTCAGTTTCTGCAATTTTTTTTTTTTTTTTGGTTTTGTACACTGATTGCTTTAGGTTTGGATGACCTTAAGATTGTTTTCTTTTATAGTTTTTTATACTCTTTTTTGTTCCTGATTTGAAAGGGAGAAAGACATTTTGGAGCCCTGCTTGGCTCAATGACAATTAGAGAAAGTTTCATTATCGGAGAGTCGTTCTCTTGTTAGGATTTCTTACCATTGTACCTTTTTGTTGTACTATATCTAGGAGTGCAACTTAGGCGGCCCAATCCCAGCAACCTGAAGTAAGTCCGAATATTTTTAAGACTTGGACAAGATATTTTCAAATTTAGTAACTTTTTGGCTATTTGGCTAAAAAGGTAGGTAAAAAAAACTTGTATGTTTGGGATGACTTTTTGGCTAATTACGAAAAGATGTGCAAAAAGTAGAGAGAAAAGAGAATCTTTGACTTTTTGGTATGGGTTGTTGGCTTTTTGGCTAATTTAGTAACTTTTTGGCTAATTGGCTAAAATAGCCTCTTGCCAAACGAGAAAGTTTCATTATCGGAGAGTCGTTCTCTTGTTAGGATTTCTTACCATTGTACCTTTTTGTTGTACTATATCTAGGAGCGCAACTTAGGCGGCCCAATCCGAGCAACCTAAAGTAAGTCCGAATATTTTTAAGACTTGGACAAGATATTTTCAAGTTCGATACAGGTTTGTCAAAAATTCAGAAGTCCGAATTAAATTTGGACGGGCTTGGGTAAAGACATCAAACAACTCGAACAATCCGAAGCTCGAATTATACATATATAGTTATATAAAAATATTAAATATATATACGAATTATTAGCCATTACAAGATATTAAAATATTTTAGATTATTAAATCATATTAAATATATATTATATATACAAATAACATAAAATCTTATTTTTTATTTTCACTCATAAATTGTAAAGACTACTATAACGGTATCTCTTTTACATTATATAAATTATTTGTTTTGATGGTATTAATGATTTTCTATATATATAAAAAAAATTGTAAATAGAGTCAAATTTTAATAATTTAATAATATAGCTGCAAAAAAAAAAAATTACAATTTGGGCAATTCGGACAATTCGAACAATTTGGGTTTAACTCGGGTCGGGTTTGGGCATGCAACCTCGGGTTACAATTCGGGCTTGAGTGGACCTGGGTAGATCTCAGTACAACTTGAACTGAGTTTAGACAATTTCTCAACCCGATCAAATTCGCTCAAGTTGCACCCCTAATTATACATATACTCGTGTGCTGATGTGTGTATATATATATATATATATATGCCTCTTTGATCTCTTTCATTTTTATGTCTGATTTATATTTTTTATGCTCGTAGCTCTAATGGGCCTAGGCTTTTAACTCGGGTCGGGTTTGGGCATGCAACCTCGGGTTACAATTCGGGCTTGAGTGGACCTGGACAGATCTCAGTACAACTTGGACTGAGTTTAGACAATTTCTCAACCCGATCAAATTCGCTCAAGTTGCACCCCTAACTATATATATATACTCGTGTGCTGATGTGTGTATATATATATATATATATATGCCTCTTTGATCTCTTTCATTTTTATGTCTGATTTATATTTTTTATGCTCGTAGCTCTAATGGGCCTAGGCTCTCTTGTTAAGCAAGAGTTTGCAGGTTCTGTTTCCTACTTTCCTTTAAGCTAAACGCTGTGTTTAGTTGGGAGATTTAGGAAGAGATTTAAAAATAGAAAGAAAAAAAAAAAGTGTATAAAATTATGTAAAATATAAATATATTTTATTCATATTTTACTTACTTTTTTTATTTTCCTTTTCAAATCTCTTCTTAAATCTCCCAACCAAACATAGCATTAGGGCTTAAGTGTGATATTTTACCTTGTATATGTGGGATAGAGGATTACATGTCATTTGGTAACAGATTATTTTAGTAATTTTTTTATTTTTTATGAAAAAATTTATAAAAAAAATAAAAAGAATGATGTAATAATTTATAATAATTTTTTTTTAACTAAAATTGAAGGTCGCTAAGTGAAGCTTACCCAGGCTGTAGTGAAGGCGAAGCTCTGGAAATCCTGTGATTTAAAAAAAAAATAAAAATTGATTTGTAAGGAAAATTTTGAATTGGGAGTTGTGCAGCCGTAATTGTTGACTTTTGGTGAATAATGTTAACTTTTTAACTTTTTGAGTAATTTTTTGACTTTTTAACTTTTTTGAAAGTACCCAAACTTGACCTTAGCCTCCTACAATGTGTTTATCTTTGTTGTGGTATTTATTTATTTTTCTTATTTTGTGTGCAAAGAGATAAGAAAGTGTTTTTTGCGAAGGAAACAGTTGGTAGGTTAGGTCATGGTTGTCTAGGTGATATGTGTAGGAAGAAATGCATGAATTGGCTATGACAATAAAGCTACCCTTTTTTGTTTTTTGTTTTTTTTTCCCTCCTCACTTGGCAATTTGGAGTATTATGATTTCATATATTAAATTGGGTAATTTACATTTTGTCTCTTAAAATATGAACAAATTCTATTATGATTTTTCAAAGTATATTTTTAATTTCAATTCAATTGATAACCGTCATTAAAATGTCACTGGATTATTGCAAGTCTATAAAATTAAGAAATGAATATTTTGAAATTATTTATTTGCCCTTTTATCTCTTCCTTTTTAAGTCATATCAATATTTTCATAAAAATGCATAAAATGCAATGGGCTTATTAAGTGCAGATCTTTAGAAGTTAAAAAAATTGATAATTAGAAGCAATATTTAAAAGCATTTATTGTTTTTTTAAAATTTATTTACGTTATTTCTTCCTCACATATTGTAAGCAGAAATTAAAATAAATATTATGACACAATTTAAAAATAAAATATTATAAAAAAATTCTCATAAATCATACTAAACAAGACTAATACTTGACAGTATTATATTCATTCTGATAAAATGTGAACTTAACTAAAAACTAATGGAGGCTGCCACCAACATTTGTTTTGTGCATCACTGAAAAAGCATATCTCCAAACCTCCCATATATATTATTACCATTAATTTCATTACAAATCGTGAAATTTGGGGTTGATGGTCCCCAAAAGAAAAAAAATGAATTTCATGCTAGAATATCAGAATTAGAATCTCAGAATTTGCACAAAATAAGTACGTGTGGTATAGATTAAATTGGTAAAATATGAAGTTTATGAGTGAAATAAATTTAAATCATTAATTGTTATTTTTAAGTACATTCTGAATAAATAATTATAAATTTGTAGTATTAGGACTATTTTTAAAAAATAGCTAAAAATAATCTTCCAGCTTTTAATCGAATTTAAATCACATTATCTCTTATATTTTTTATATATTTTTTCAAAATAAATTAAAAAAATTAACTTTTAACTATTTTATCAAAATAACCCTTATTGTTATAATTATAATAGAACGGTAATGAATGAAGAGACGAACCAAAGCAGAATCATATTCCACTTTTCCCATCCCTTTCGAAAACGTGAAGCTCCTGCGTCCAAACACCCCCTAACTATAATGCCCATCACCTTACCGAAAAATTATTTGGTGCTCCTGGAACACAAAAGTAACAGTATCTCTTTTCAATTACAATAAAGTATCTCTTTTCAATTACAATTTATCCATCGTTTGGAATGTAGGTTAATCTTTTAGCTTTTTGACTATTTTACTTTGGACTAAAAGGTCTTGTTTCGGATAGACTTTTTGGCTTTTTAAATTTTTGTGAGAAAAAAAATAAATGATTATAAGTTAGCTGTAACATTTTATCATATTTGACTAAAATAGTTTACTTTTTGTCTTGTATGGCTATTTTAGCCCGAAATGTTATGCCAAACAAACCCTTATTATATCCAGTTATATTCCTCGATCACTCAATATAAAATCGTGAGTCTCACATCGTCCATCAATCACAACACTCTTGAAATACCACTTGAACCAACCAATAACTACTCTCACATTACCTCTCTTTTCCACTGTTCGATCCTAACCACATTCCTTCAACAAATAATAAGGAAAACTAAGCCCCGGTTTGGCATTTATTTTGAAGCTAAATAGTTACAAAAAGACAAAATCGACTATAAAAATTAATAAGACAAAATACTACTTTTACTTATAATCATTATACTTTTTCTCTCACAAAAGTAAAAAAGTCTCAAAATAAAAACCAAACAAGGCTAAAAAGTCAAGCTAAAAAAGTCGTAACACAAAAAAGTTGGTTATATTAGCCAATGCCAAACGACTCCTAAGGCTATGTTTAGTTTGCTTTTTAAATTTTTTTTCCTAAAAAATTAAAATTAATTTTGTAAAAAAAATATAAAAAAATTAAAGCACATATTATTTTTGTATAATTTTTTCTTTTTAAAGGGTCAAATTAATTTTTAAAATTTAAAAATATATTTTTAATATTTATTTTTGTGAAACTAATTTCTATATACCAAACATAATAATTATTATTGGGAGATTTATTAGAAAATATTTTTTCAAGTGTTTGTATCTCAATTAGACCATAAGCTATTCTTATATTTTAATAGGTCTTATTATTTGAATATTTGATCTACCAAATCCTAATTTTAATATTTAAAATATTTTATGGATATTTCTACCCTTACAAATATTTTTTGAACGGTTAGCAATTTGATGATGTGAATATTCACATTAACGTGTGAATGTTCAATGTGATAGTGTGAACATTCACATTAACAATATGAATATTCACATTGACATGTTAACATTCACATTGATGGTGTGAACATTCACATTGATGGTGTGAACATTCACATCACGGAACATTCACATTATAAATGTGAATATTATTAAAGATATTTTGGTAACTATGTCACCTATAGGATTTATTAGAATATAATAAAATAATATGGACGAAGTGGAACATGAGTAGGTGAAAATAAATTTATAAAAAAGTATCCCATTATTATTTGTCATTCACATGTTACCTATACAAATAATAATGTTATTTGCACAAATAATAAGGAAAGTTACACTTACAGTTCGTTTGGCAAACATTTTGGGCTAAAATAGTTATATAAGACAAAATAGACTATTTTAGTTAAATAAGACAAAATGTCATATGTAACCCAAAATAATCTCATTTTTTTTTCTCACAAAAATCAAAAAAATCAAAAAACCTATTCCAAACGATATTTTTTAACCTTAGGCTAAAAAACCAAAAAAGTAAAAAGTCAACCCACACCCTAAACGAGCTCTTATACTATTTGTAATTTACTTTTTATGTCAATTTAATTATTGTCTATTTAATTGTATTAATTTTATCATTAATTTAGTCAAATCAAAAAGGAATTTTAGTTTAAGATATCTAATATTAAAATTTTATAAGATAAATGACATAAAATATTTTTCATAGTAGTTGAAAACCCTTAACATTTTCACAGATAAATTTCGGCATAGAGAAATTTAAACGCAAAGAAATTTGAACTTTTCAAAGAGAAATTTCACAAAGAAATTTCAACTTTATAAAGAAATTTTAACTCGTCATAGTGAAATGAAATTTCTCTAATAATATTATTGAGAAATCAATTAATAAAAAAAAATATGTCAGACCTCTCCTACTACTAAAAATATGTCAGACCTCTCCTACTAAAAATAGTTTAATCATTATATTCAAAGTAATGGAATGTTAACATTCAATTTAAAATAATTATTTTTTAATGAACTATTTTATTATTAACAATAATGATAGAAATCCCATTTTTGGAAGGTTCTACTATCCCAAAATGATCCACCACATTAATGATGTGAGTTTATACTTATATAAGTGGGCCCCACACTACATAAATGGTGTGAATCACTTTGAAAGTTATGGGGTCCTCCAACAAGGGATCTCACTCATTTTCCTATTATTAATTTAAAACTAATTTTTTTTAATGAATGTTATGATGAAAAAATAACAATTGGCTTGCTTGGTTGTGTTTTTTTTAAAACACTTTTCAGAAAATTCTATTTTTTTTTATTTTTCGTGTTTTTTTGTTTTTATTGAATTTCTTTAATATTTTAAACAATTTTTTTTATTTTTTAGACATACCTAACATAAATATACCTAAAAAAAAATTTGTGAAAAAACCTTTCAAAAATTTACTATATATCAAAAATATAAAAAAAATACGAGAATTCAATATATTTTTTATATTTTTATGTATTTATTAAATTTTTATAATATTTTTTCACAAACTTTTTACTTTTTAGATACATCTAAGTAAAGTACATCTAAAAAAGTAAAAAAAATATTTAAAATTTTAAAAATATTTATTAAAAACAAAAAACACAAAAACCAAAAAATTGAGTTTTTAAAAAATTTAATTTAAAAAACTCAAGTCAAACGCATAATACTGTCACATCACATGGCATATACACACCACAAAAACTTATCCCGCAACACACCAAAACATTTCTCCCCCATGAAGTACTATATATTCCTCGCCAGCCTCCACCGTTCCTCCCTTCACACCCTCTCTCTCTCTCTCTCTTTCTCTCTCCTTCGCCTCGGTGACTTCCGACGCGACCAGGACGCAGGTACTCTCTCTCTCTCTCTCTAAAAAGTACTTTCTCTCTCTAAATTAGTTCTTCTGGCCTGAACGCCTTCGATCTGTTGTCTGCATTTTGGTTTGTGAACGTTTTTGTTGCACAATTTTTTGGTTACGAATGAGTATTGGATTGTATTGAAGGCATTGTTAAGGTTTCAGATCTCTACAATTTCTTTGCTGTTTCTCTTAGATCCGTATATTTCTCTCTGTTTCCTTGCATCCTGTGCAGAGTTTTTGGGCTTGTTTGATTTGTTTTTGGGAGATTTGTTTTTAAAAAAAAATTTAGGGAGACAGTTTAGAATTTTTTTTGGTTTGTTTAGCTGTATATCTTGAGAGAGTTGTTTTTTTGGGGTTTGGAATGAGTTGATATTTTGAGAGAATTTGAATAGATGGACGTGAGAGAAAAAGTGAAAAGGTGATTGAGAAATAGAGAGGATAGAGAAAAAGCAATTAATTGATGTGTAAGAGAGAGAGAGAGAGCGATTTTGGAAATTTTTTGAGAAAAACTCAAACCAAATAATTTTTTAGAAATTTTTTTTCAAAACTCATCTCCCAAATGCAAACCAAACATACTGTTTATTTCTGCTTTGTTTGAGTAGTTCGTTCTACGCTGTTATATATATCTGTATACGAATTTATATATCTGTGTATAATTTCTACTGACTATTTGCTTGTCCATGAATCTGTGGAGACCATGTTTTATATTTGAATCAGCGGTTGATCTACTGGTATTGAGTGGATGTTTGGGATTTGCTTATTTGGTGTTTTTTTTTTTCAAAAAAAAGAAAAAATTGTGGATTTTTTCAAAAATTTGTTACTTTTAGATTTGTCTGGACAAGGCCGACCGAAAAGGCTTCGTTTGGAAAGTGAGTTGGTTTTTTGACTTTTTTGACTATTTTAGCCTGGGTTAAAAGACTTTTGGACTTTTTAACTTTTTTGACTTTTGTTGTGAGAGAAGAGTGTAATGATTATAGGTTAGACGTGATGTTTTGTTTGTTGTGACTAAAATAGCTTATTTTGTCTTTTGTGGCTAAAATAGCCAAAAAAACTTATAAAAAATTTGACATAATTTTTTTAAAAAGTCACTAAAGACAAAACTTTTAGAGGAGCTGGCTCTTTAAGGTGTTGCCAAACACCATCTGATTTTGTTTTTTTTTTTGACCGGAACACCATCTGATTGTGATTTATGTTTCTTATGTTTTATTTTCTGTTTTTGAACAAATCTTGGTTTTGTGTGCCAAGTCAAGTATCTTCGGCATATTAAACTGATAGAGATCTTACTGAATTATCAATTTTTCTTCCAACTACAAGCATCAGTGTGGCCCCCTGTTGGTAGAAAAACTAGTAATTTAGTAAAGGTATGTAGCAAAGTTGTATGTTATAGGGTCATCCTAATGACAATCCAATGGCGTCATTGTCATTCAGGTAGAAATAATGTCATAGATGTTAGAATTTTAATGCACATTTTACAAATTTCTAAACAATTTTATATACTTCTAGCAAACAATTTCTTTCCAGTCCGATCATGGACCCGAGAGATCCAATTTCGCCCACTGTGGTCCATAGAGGGTTGTCTCGATTATGTGAACTGTTTATTTTGTGGCCGCATTGAATACAGTATTTATGTAAAAAATTAAGTCAATCGGATATCGATAACCACTTGATTATATCACATTTTTTTGGAAAAAATAATTTTTTGTATGATTCTGAAGGCGCCTATTTTTTCCTCAACAAATGTGATCTGATTAATTAACTATTGATATCCAATCGAACTAATTTTTGGTATTAATAATGAACGCGACGTGCCTCACAAGATAAATGGTTTGGATCGTCAAGATGGAGCCCATAGTGGGCCAAAATGGACCTCTTCAGTCCAATCATCAATTAGAGAGGATCTGCTCTCTCTTTCTATACACTTTTCACATATTTTTATGGTTTTTTTTTTAATTTTTTTTTTATATACATACATCTGACACTTGTGCCCAACATTTTGATCTCATTAGCATTTTCCTTAGTTATATAGGTGATTTCATGGATCTAGTTGTATTAACAGAAGGTATATTTGGTATTTGCTTTATGTATTTTGGTCATCACGTTCGTATCTCTCTAGCACACACCTAATGTTGTTGTCTATTTGTTTATGTTACTGGAGAAGCAAAATTATAACATAATGTGCAATTAGTGTACTGTACTGCAAGGTACAGTACACTAATAGTATGTCTTCTTCTTTTTCTTCTTCTTCGTCTTTTTTTTTTTTAAATGTTAAAACATTGAATTTTTTATTTTTTTTGATAAATAAGCAAATTTATTAGAAAAGTATCAAAATGATGCAAAGAATATAAAATTCAAACCCCTAAGAAAAAAATGCTAAGCTATCAAATCCTCTATAAAATCGACATAAGCTAAAATATCTAAATCGACCAACCCCGTAACCCAATTATATAACACCATAAACACTCGCCTCTCCAATTAAGAAATCGAATGAGACACCCCTTGAAATACACGCCTATTACGCTCTAACCAAAGAAGCCATATTAAACAGTAAGAGGCAATCATCCATATCTTCTGACGTCTCCTCCCAACCCTACCCCCAGCCAAACTTTGCAAGATTGCTAACACCGAACCTGGCTGCACCCAAACCAAACCAAAAGTCGCCACAATAAACATCCAAAACCGATACATAACTAGGCAATGAACGTGCAATGGTTTACCGATTCAGCATCACCACAACACAAACAACACCAATTTACTAGTACATGCCCACGGCGCATTAGATTATCGATTGTCAGAATATGTCCTAAGGCCGCCGTCCACACAAAGAAAGCTACCTTAGATGGCGTGCCCGACACCCAGACACATTTCCAAGAAAACCAAATCGCATTTACATGAGCAAGCGCACCATAGTAGGCAGATACAGAAAAAAGTCCCTTAGAGCCAGGATAGACCCAAACCATACAATCTTCCCCTACACCCCCAGCTTGCAACCCGTATAAGAAACCCAATAACTCCACTAACTGATCCACCTCCCAATTCTGAACCTCATGACGCAGCCGCACATTCCAAACTACCGCTTATCCTTGCCCCATTCTAACCGGCCCCACCATGACATCACAATCTTCTACAATATCAAAAATCAGAGGAAACAACTCTTCTAAAGAAGTATCCCCACATTACCTATTACGCCAGAAACAGACTCTATCTCTCAACCTTACCTTTAGCTGAATCCTTCGCCAAAACTCCTCCTAGCCCAACCAAACTCCTTTCCAGACACCACGACTATGAGGTTGTCCCGTCCTACTCGAACACCACCCTCCTCTTCCCAAACCAAACTTTGCCACAACCACCTTCCTCCATAAACGCTCTATTTCCCCCACAAAACGCCATAACCACTTATCCAGTAACGGCAAATTAAACATAACCAACTGCCTAACCCCCAAACCTCCTTTCTCCTTAGGACGACAGACTCAATACCACGCCACCAAATGAGAATGAGAACCATCCCCCTCATTTCCCTATAAAAAATCCCGCTGTAGCTTCTCAATCCACTTTGCAACTGCCATCGGGATCACATGAACTAATATAAAATAAGTCGTGATACTTGATAAGACACTCTTGACCAACGTAAGCTTCTCGCCTTTAGATAAATATTGTCACTTTCACCTGGCCAACCGTTGATGCACACGTTCCACCACCTTGTCCCACACCCCAAGGGCCTTGAAAGAAGCTCCCAAAGGTAGACCAAGATACGAAACTGGCAGAGAAGCCACCTTACAACCCAAAATCGCCGCCAAAACCGGAAGTTGAGCCACCTCACATAACGGAATTAATTCAGACTTTGAGAGATTAACCCGAAGACCAGACATAGCCTCAAAACATAGCAACACACACAGAAGATGTTCAATCTAACCAACGTCTGCATCACAAAATACAAGAGCAGCATCCGCATAAAAAAGATGGGATACGACCAAAGAAGTTGGTCCAGAACCCACCTCAAAACCCTGCAACAAGCCTCCATGAACTGCCCTCGACAACAAACGCCCTAAAGCCTCCGTAACCAGAATAAACAACAACGGGGATAGGGGATCACCTTGCCGAAGGCCTCTATATGTGGGGAAAAAACCTGCTAGAAAGCCATTGACCAACACAGATATCCGCTCAGTAAATATACAAAAATGTATCCAGCGCCTTCATCTAGTCCCAAAACCTATCCTCTCCAATACAGAAACTTCCAATTAACATTGTTATATGCATTCTCAATATCTAGTTTACACATAATCCCTACCTTTCTCTACCTCAACGTTGAATCCACACATTCATTGGCCACCAAAACTGCATCCAGAGTTTGCCTACTGCCCACAAAGGCATTTTGTTTTTGATATTTTTTAAATATAGATATTATTTTTTTAGACCAAAATGATAAATTATTCTTTTGAATTGAATTTTAAAAAGAGTTTGGTTTTGAGTTTTAAATAGAATTTTCAATAGAGTTTTGAGTTGTGTGTTTGGTTATGAGTTATAAGTTTTTCAATTAAGTATTGAAAACTCTTTTTAAAACTCATAATCAAATAAATTTTCATTTTTCATATGTCACATCAAAAATTTAAAACACAATTCAAAACTCATAACCAAACAAATTTTCTTTTTTCAAATCATAATTTCAAAACTCCCAAACTCAAAATACAACTCTATTTTCAAATCATAATTCTAAAACTCTACCAAACACTATCATTGTTTTTGTGTTGCCATTGGATTTTAAGTTATTTTATTCAAACTTATAATGTGTTTCTTGTGTGTTTGAGTGTTGGGAAGTGTCCATGGAGTGTCAGGTCGGTGTTAGACACGGTGTCAGACATGGTGTCGGACGTGACTTGTTACCTTCTTAGAATTGTATGTGCCTCTTAGATCTAGACTATACTTACATAAATCTTGAAATTTCAATTATTTGATGACAAAAGCTGCTTGTGTGCTTTGTAATTTGCTTAAATGGATGTTATAATTAACCATAATGTTTTGCATGAAATCTGCAGAGGTTCTTAATTACAAGGCATAATGGCTGATCAGCACCGGCACCCGCACCCAACTGTCATTCAGAAGGTAGCTGGCCAGCTACGTCTCAATTCCAATGCTCAAATGTGCTATGGAGGTTATCAAAAGCCTGCTCTTTACCAGAGACGATTTTCATATGGAAATTACTCTAGTGCATCATTGCAGTATCCCATGACACAAACATGCCGAGCGACCCAAGATCTATCATTGGTTGCTGCAAATGCTTCACCAGTGTTTGTCCAAGCTCCCTCAGAGAAAGGCTTTGCAGGCTTTGCCATTGATTTTCTCATGGGTGGAGTTTCAGCTGCTGTGTCAAAAACTGCTGCTGCTCCAATTGAGCGTGTGAAACTTTTGATCCAAAACCAGGATGAGATGATCAAAACTGGTCGGCTTGCTCAACCCTACAAGGGAATTGGGGAATGTTTCAATCGGACAATTCAAGAGGAAGGATTTGGATCTTTGTGGAGAGGGAACACTGCTAATGTCATCCGTTATTTTCCCACTCAGGTTGGTTATTCTCCATCTGACATGGTTCAATTTTACATATTTACGTAAGTGGAACATGCATATATATTCTTTTACTGGATCCAGATCCTCATCATTACATGGTTGTAATGGACCTCCATTGCATCATCTAATGGTTGTGGAAAAACCACGTCAATTGCTGTAATGATTTTATCTTAATTTGAAATAAAGATAAGTTCATATAACCATTTTACAACCATGCAATGGGGAGGATCTCAGTCCTCTTTTACTTCCCTGTATTGTGTGCTCATTACAAACTGAATTCTTTTACAGGCTTTGAACTTTGCGTTCAAGGATTACTTTAAGAGTCTTTTCAACTTCAAGAAAGACCGTGATGGCTACTGGAAATGGTTTGCTGGTAACCTGGCATCTGGTGGTGCTGCTGGTGCTTCTTCCCTTCTCTTTGTCTATTCACTGGATTATGCTCGAACCCGTCTTGCTAACGATGCCAAGGCTGCAAAGAAGGGAGGAGAGAGGCAGTTCAATGGCTTGATTGATGTCTACAGGAAGACACTTAAATCAGATGGTATTGCTGGCCTTTACCGTGGATTCAACATTTCATGTGTTGGCATTATTGTATACCGTGGTTTGTACTTCGGAATGTATGACTCTTTGAAGCCAGTGCTCCTCACTGGGAAAATGCAGGTTAGTAAATTATTTTGTGGCTCCACCTTGTTTTGCTTTTATTGCTTTTATAAAAAATGAGTTGGTGTCGGTTTGTGTTACGGGTTCAATGTGTGGGTCTAGCAAAAAGATATTGTAAAGAACCTAGTTACCGGATTTTGACTCTCATTTACTTGCTTGTTTGAGAATCTGTCTCCATGAAAATTTTGATTGTCACGTAACAGCTGTTACAAAATCATAATCTGATAATTGAGACTTCACTCCAGAAAAAGTATTCACTGTGTTTGGTTTGAGTTTTCTGTATTAAGTTTTTTGAAAATTGACTTTTTTGGTTTTTGTGTTTTTTTGTTTTTAGTGAATATTTTTTAAATTTTAAACATTTTTTTTACTTTTTTAGATGCACCTTACTTAAATGTGTCTAAAAAGTAAAAAATTTGTGAAAAAATATTTTAAAAAATTTATAAATACATAAAAATACAAAAAAATGTACTGAATTCTTGTATTTTTTTGTATTTTTGGTATTTAGTGAATTTTTAAAAGATTTTTTTTACAATTTTTTTACTTTTTAGGTGTATTTATGTTAGATGTGTCTAAAAAGTAAAAAAATTGCTTAAAATATTAAAAAAATTCAGTAAAAACAAAAAAATACGGAAAATAAGAAAGTAGAATTTTCTAAAAAGTGTTTTGGAAAACTGGAAACCAAGCAAGGTAATTACTAGCTAAAAACAGCATTCTTCCTTGATCCTCAAGATTGTATGCTTGTGGAGTGATACTACTACTAATATTGACCATATGATAGAAAGCCTGCTGTAGTGAAATTTGTTGGGTGCTCACGACTTAGGACCAATGAACTGTGATTGTTTTATGATTTCAATGTTGATTGAAATTTAAGTGTCTCCAAATGAGAGGATTATTGAATCCATTCTGCATATTGTGGATTATACAACATATTACATTAGTTTAATGTTTTCTGAAAATGATTCATTCCAAATTATCTAATGTACTTAATTGGACTTCTTTTTTTTTTTTTTTCTCACATTGGGCACATGTATTTTGATGATTTCAGGATAGTTTCTTTGCTAGCTTTGCTCTTGGTTGGGTCATTACAAATGGTGCTGGCCTTGCTTCGTACCCAATTGACACAGTCCGGAGAAGAATGATGATGACTTCTGGCGAAGCTGTGAAGTACAAGAGCTCACTCGATGCGTTCTCTCAAATCCTTAAGAACGAGGGTGCCAAGTCTTTGTTCAAGGGTGCTGGTGCTAATATCCTCCGTGCAATTGCTGGTGCTGGTGTGCTTGCTGGTTACGACAAGCTTCAGATGATTGTGCTTGGAAAGAAGTATGGTTCTGGCGGAGCCTAATTCAGATCATTAACCTTGCTCGCTGTTTTAAGGTCATATAGATGGTGATGAAAATCCTTTTGCAGTTAAGTTTGAGAATTTATGCAACACTATTTTTACTCCACATTTGAGTAACCATATTTAAGGGGTTTATCTCCCAAACATTTGTCCTTTTTTTTTTGACAGGAATTTTTTGTTTCATGATGATTTGAGAGTCTCCAATTGCGTGACATGGATATGAATAGTTTTGCAAGAAAATCATTTCGGTTATAATTCTGTACCCCATTAAATTTGGAGGATCTCTTTCTTGCTTTTTACTGAATACCTTTGTTCGAAGGTTCTTTTTTATTTATTTTATATTTTTTATAGAGCTTGTTTTTTCTCGTGAGTATTTCTCTCTTTCTGTTAATGCCTTTTTGGGATTTTAAAATCTGATTCATAAAAGGAAAATACTATTTTTATGTAATATGTTTTTGGTTTTTACCAAAATGAAGTGGAGCTAGCATTTTTTTAATTAAATGTGGTTTTGGTGAGCATTTTGTTTTAAAATAATAGTTTCATTGTAGTTCAAATTTTTTGTTTGTTTGTTTGTTTGGTTATCATTATTTTTGTTGAAAGGTGTTATTCTCATTAATTCTTCTTAAAAATTTATGTATCTTTTTATACTATTATTACGTGAAGGCTTAAATTGGTTTAGTTGAAGTTTTCTTCTTCTCATGTCACTTGCCAACTTTATATATGTGTGGGAGCCGGATAATTAGAATAATCAGAAGTGTATTCTAGAAGACAAATACTACACGGTTTTACCTTGCACGATAAGGATGTTGAATATAATAGATAGGCGGAATAGATACTAAACTATGGAGCCGAGTAAATAAGAAGCTAATGAGTGACAAGTGGGCCTGGCCACGAGGTCCAGGAAACAAGTATAAATAAAGGAACAACAGACTAAGAAAGGTATGTGAGAATTGTTGTGCTTTACTTAGAATACAAACATTCTTGAGTGTGGATTCTGACTTGTCCGTTGGAGTGCTAATTTTGGCACTCCCGACCGGAGTGTTTATTCCTTTTTAGGTGACCAGAAGAGGATCACGAGCGTTCTTCAAGATTTAAGAAGTATTTCCAAACCACATCTCCACAATTGGTGCCGTCTGTGGGAATACTCAATATATCCATGGCAAGCGTAACAGAAGATCTTCCAATAGTCACTGATGAAACCACTCAAAGAGACGACCTCACTTCAACAAACATGCTTGGACCGGAGACTATCGCCGCGAGACGTGCCTTGAACTTCGCCTCACCCTCGACTTCGGAACATGAGACAATGCAGGCGATCATGGAACAAGCAAAGCAAAGCAAAATGAACAGAGGTTGGAGAACATGATCGCCGGGAACGAACGTCTCCATGAAGATTTGGCCTTGGAAATGGCGAAGTCCAAACAAGCTATACGCCTAAATCCAGAACGATCTCCGAAAGCAGGTGGTCGACGACCTCGAGCCCGACAAGACAACACCGATAGCGACTCCAACACGTTATCCCCGGAACCCAGTAAGAAGGGATGACATGATACCCACCAGTTCTTCCGAAAAAAGTCCCCGTACAATGCACAAGCGAAAAAGAAATAGCTCGGACGAAGATCAACACAATCCCTTCATACGACGGATTGTAAAGGGTGCGCTACCCAAGAAATTCAAAGCACTGTCGTTCACCTTGTACGACAGCAAATCAGACCCCACCGACCACATCCGCCACTACAAGCAGGCCATGACATTGCATACAGACGACAAGGCCCTCATGTGCCGAATATTTTCCAGCAGTTTGGGACCATTGGCGATCAGGTGGTATTATAAACTGGAGCCGGCTTCGATCAAAACCTTCCACCAACTACAGAAATCCTTCAAGGCCAAATTCATCACCAACGAGGTCCAGCCGAAGCAAGCCGACTCTCTTTGGGCAATGCAAATCCTGCCAGGAGAAACATTAAGAGTATATTCGGCGCGATATTGGGAATGCTTAAATCTTGTTGATGACGCTTGCAACGACTCCATGGCCATCACAGCCTTCAAAATGGGATTACATCCAGAAAGTGCCCTCCGCAATTCCTTGACTAGAAGACCCCCCAAAACAGTCTGGGGGTTGATGAAGAAAGTAGAGGAATACTGCAAAGTGGAAGATGACGCCTTGCGAGTTAAAGCCGGACACGTGGCCAACAAAACAGCCCCTCCCAAAATCACTCAGCCAATAAGCTTCGTACCACCACAGAGCCCTGAACCACGACAGTGGGCTAAACGAGACAAGAGACGGGATTCTCGCCGATCCAGCGATCAATGCTCACACCAAGAAAATGAGCAACTGCAGGTCGATAACAGGCGCACAAAGCGCGCCGACAAGAAATATACGAAGCTGTCAGAGCCAATCAGCTCGATTATGTCCAAAATCTAACATCTTTCGTTTTTCAAATGGCCGTCCAATATGGTGGGACCTCCTGACACGAGAAGATAGGACAGGCGCTGTGAATATCACAAAGATCACGGTCATGATACGGACAGTTGCTATGCCCTGAAAGATCACCTTGAGGAATTGGTACAAAATGGCCGGCTCCAGCAGCATGTCCGGAAGAGCACAGTCAAAACTGTTGCCCTTCGGTAGGAGTCACCTTCCCTCGGCGTTATTCATATGATATATAGCCTTCCAACGCCACGTACAATACATGCAATTCAATCAGCCCCCCCAGAGGCAACGTACACAAACGGAACAGCCCCACGAAGCTCAGAGATTTCATTATCTTCGACGATTCCGACCTTATCAGCAAAACACTCCCTCATATTGATCCATTGGTCATTGAACTACACGTGAACCGATTTACCGTTGAACGCGTCCTCATAGACCAGGGGAGCACTTCAGAGGTTATGTATTACGAGACCTTCATAAAACTCGGTTTCAACGAATCAGAACTGTCTCCAGCTCCTCATCCGTTATTCGGCTTCAACGCAAATCCAGAGTATCCGTTGGCAAAAATCACGTTGCCCGTTCGGGCGGGCTCCCAAACAGTGGACGTCGAATTCTTGGTCGTCAAGCTCCCTTCGTCGTATAACCTCATCATGGGGCGAACTTGGTTGCATACTATTCAGGCCGTGCCAAGCACTTATCATCAGCTGCTATGCTTCCCGACCGAACACAGCATTGAGCAAATCCGTGGTTCCCGGCAATCCCCACGAGTGTGCTATCTCCTTTTTGGAAAGACACCAACGGAGTCGCAGGTCAACTCCACTGAAGTGCCGAATCGAGACAGTCTGGACAATGTCAGGCGGCTCCCTGGCGAAAAGCCACAGAAGCTCTAGGCGATACCAGCAGCAGCTTCCCGAGACGTATGCTCAACGCGTTCAGTTGCACCGCTACACGCCGAGAATGTTGCTCCTGAAGGTATTTCCGGATGATGGGAGGCCGGTTGATGGAAAATTAGATACGCGGCATTGCTCCTAACGCACTTGCACAAATTCTATCATTAAACCCGACCTGTGGGGAATGATATTGATTCTGAATGGCTCACCATGTAAACTTTCCACTACTATAATGCAAAGATTTCTGTTTACTCACTGTGCAATCAAGTTCAAAAGTGTTCCAAATAAAGCCTCCGGATTCGGAGCGCCCTTCGTAGATGTCGCGATTGGCCAAATAAAGCCTCCGGATTCGGAGCCCCATCGGCGAATGACTTCTTTGGGCTGATAAAGCCTCCAGATTCGGAGCGCCCTTCGTAGATGTCACGATTGGCCTAATAAAGCCTCTGGATTCGGAGCCCCATCGGCGAATGACGTATTTGGACCGATAAAGCCTCCAGATTCTGAGCGCCTTCGTGGATGTCACGATTGGCCAAATAAAGCCTCCGGATTCGGAGCGCCCTTCGTGGATGTCACGATTGGCCGAATAAAGCCTCTGGATTCAGAGCCCCATCGGCGAATGGCGTCTTTGGGCAGATAAAGCCTCCGGATTCGGAGCGCCCTTTGTGGATATCACGATTGGCCGAATAAAGCCTCCGGATTCGGAGCGCCCTTCGTGGATGTCACGATTGGCCCAATAAAGCCTCCGGATTCGGAGCCCCATCGGCGAATGACGTCTTTGGGCCAATAAAACCTTCGAATTCGGAGCCCCATCGGCGAATGACGTCTTTGGGCCGATAAAGCCTCCGGATTCGGAGTGCCCTTTGTGGATGTCACGATTGGCCGAATAAAACCTCTACATTCGGAGCCCCATCGACGAATGACGTCTTTAGACTGATAAAGCCTCCGGATTCGGAGCGCCCTTCGTGGATGTCACAATTGGCCGAATAAAGCCTCCGGATTCGGAGCCCCATTGGCGCATGACGTCTTTGGGCCGATAAAGCCTCCGGATTCGGGGCCCCGTCAGCACGTCTTCAGGGCGATAAAGCCTCCAAATTCAACTGACCAAAATAGTGCCACCAAGCGACGCTCAAGGGCCGAATAATATTCCAAATTCGGAGCAGCCTCCAGAACGAAAACATTTACACATCGAGGTAGGGATATGTAGGTTGAGCCAGTACAACCGCATGAACAAGACAAAACATTGCAGCATTCAAAATAAGATGCTTAATTAAGCACACAAAAATTCAAAATGAGATAAACTTTTAAAATAAAGCATTTTATTCGATTAAATAATAATTAAAAAAAAAGCAATCCGCGTTTGAAGCATTACAATATATATTCTCATACGGCGTCGCGGTGGCACAGCGACAGCGCCGAATCAACGCCCGCTGATCAAAGAGCACTCGCAACTTGAAATGCTTTAATCTGACCTCGCCTGAATCAGCATTCACACTGACGAGATAATCATCCTCGAGGTAGGGACCTTTAGTACCATAGACAACGTCAAGGCCAAGATCCAGGACAAGAAAGGAATTTTCCACGAAAACAATAATACTCAACGGTCGCGGCGCTACGTCGGCCTCGTTTCTCGGTCGCAGTTGCGGAGAACTTCCCCATTGCTGTTTCTCCCTTCGGGGTGATCTGCTTTGACGACTTAAAGGCTAACGTTTTTCCTCTTTTTTTTTTTTGAATGGCCTATCTCCCGCGCGAGTGGGTTCTCTGTTGCAATTCATTACAATGTCAAGCTCAGCCAGAGTCCGAGCTTCTCCTCTGCTGCTGAAGAAAACTTCATTCGACATTCACACTTATCTAACCCCACGCAACAAAATCGAGTTTGTACACAGTAAGCGAAGTCATTGGAGCGAAAAGTCTAAGGCGATTTATTTCTAAAACCCTTACAGTGGCCCCGAAGCGATTTCATTAACACTGAACTCCAAAAGACAAACGCCGAGCGATATTGGCCACAACCACTCCAT